TTAAAATATATATTTAACATAAATGCAGAATTTAAATGGATTTTTTATGTTCGAGCCTAAATATCGAGTGCTCACTGTACAGGCAACTAACTTAACAATAATTATTATTATAATAGCAATACTTTAGATGATCTTCGTAAGCTTTTTCTTTTTTCCTAAAAGTCAGCTAAATACAATTTTGCAGGAATTATTCCTCTTAATGATTGATGGTGTTAGCTGAGCATAATTCTGTATGGGCTAGAAAAATACTTTAAAAGATAAAAGTAAATAATCTATTTATTTATTTTTGTATTATTATTATTATTATTATAATTTTTTTTTTTACGACAACTTATATTACAACTAAAGTTGCGTTTTTACATACATTATCTGAAATATAAAAATATTACAGTAAGACTATTTTATATATAATGTTAAGCTAATTTAATTATTTGATTCACAGTTGAATATGATGATCCATGATCTGCCGTCGCCTTCAGCTTTACAATACTTAAAATACTTATATTTAATTAAAGGAATTTAAGACCATTTGGCATGGTGAAGACATGAATTTCATTATAGTTCAGAGCTTAGACTGACTTTTTTATCTTAATTATAAATTTAAAGATTTCTTGAGCTTCAGTGATCAGATGACTTCAAGTTGAACTAAATTCCTTAGTACTGTTCACAGTTTTCTTTCACAAATATTTTGATTTTCAATCACAAACATCCGCCGCCTGCTCCGCTCATATGCCCAGGCGTCTGGGCTCCAGCTGCTTTCGCTCCAATTTGCTGCTCATCTGGAGGACCAATCGATCGGGTGTTGAGATCTTGTAGTCCGCATCCCTTCCGTAGCGCTTCTCGACGCGCAGCGACGTGGCCATCACGAAGACGGAGAAGACCAGGGCGATTAAGTAGCGTACAACCAGCATCGTTGACTCAAAGCGCTTGCCGTGCCAGATCACACAGGTCGGACTGCTGCGGGGTGGTGAGGGGTCGCTCGCTTTTATAGGACCTCCGCAGGTAGCTTTCTCAATGTTTCCAGAGCGGGATTAGAAGCGCTTTGTTTTGCTCGTGAAATTTCCACGTTATTTACATACGCACATTTATGAGTGTAGATTTTCGTGCAGTGTATCTGTGTGCGTCCGCTAATAAAAGTGCGCTAATCCCATGGCAATTTCCACTTCCTGCGCCGGCACATGCAAATCCCGAACATGATTAGCCTGTCTAATAATTGCGAGCATCATCAGTTACAGCAGCAACAGTTGCTGCGCAGCATCATCATCAGCAACAGTTGCTGCTTCCAAGAACCCGCTGTCTGCCTATTTTATGAGGATAACGAAGACGAAGAGGAGGAGGAGGAGGAGGAGGAGGCTGAAGCTGAGGACGAGGACGCATTTTACCATTAGACATTTTAATTGTTAATTTTGCAAAAATTTAAATAATGGATGCGCTGCAGGCCGCGAAGCAGCTGAGGCTACCTGCATTTATTAACTGCCTAGCCTCAGTCTCTCGCTCCCTCTCTCTCTCTCTCTCTCTCTCTCTGTCTCTCGCTCGCTCTCACTCTTGCACTCCAGCTCAAGTGCCATCAACGTAAAAACAAGTGGCAACAATTTTCTATAAATTGCATTTGTGCAAAATTAAGTTCAATCTTGGCCAAGTGCAAGTCCGCAGTCTGGAGTCGAAGACCAGGTCCGGTAGCCGCATCCGTTGCACCTCCTCGCTGCTGGAGTAGCCAAACTCCATTAACTTTGCAATTGGCCACCATAACTTTTAGCTGGGGCTCGTTTGCCTGGTCACCTCGCCACACCAGCGGCGGGACGGGGGGACGGCATCTCCACCACATCCCAGGCTGCATCGCTTGTTAGTTTTTGCGCCAGATCGTTTATAATAATTCGTATGCGAGTCATGTCATGGCCCCTAAAGTGTATCTGCGACTGCGCCGTCGCGTCGTCGTCGTCGTCGTCGTCCACTTGGCCAAACACACGACGCGCTGTATCTGTATCTACGAGTTTCTTCTGTCTCGCTGCCTCTGCCTCTGCCTCTGCATCGGCCTCTGCCTCTGCCTTGGCCTGGCCTGGCCTGGTCAACTATGCAACCGCAGCCAGCGCCCCGATCGCCTGCTGACTTGGCTTGATCTTGCGCCCATTTTTCTGCGCGCTTTGCTTTGGGTCGCCAACGTTCGATTCAAGCTCTCCTCTCCATCTCTCCACTACCCCACCCCTTCTCTTCTCTGCCGCCTTTCTCTATGCCCCTCTTGACCACTTGCTGTGGTCGCGCTTTTTTTGCGCGTTCTATCGGCAAAAGGAAGTTAGAAAATGCTCTGAATTCATGTGGGCACTGGCGCTGGCATTTGGCTTCAGCCTCAGTCGGAGTCGCAGCCGCAGTCGCAGCCTCTGCCACGGCTTCAGCTGATTGCAGATCTTTGACGAGGAAAGTTGGTTTCAGCTTGAGCAACTAACTATAGAAGTTAGTTAGTTTTACTAAACTAAACTGAACTAAGCTTGACTTTACGTTTTCGTCGTGTGAAGCTCATAATATATACAGAATATAAATATTGATTACATAGAAATAGAATATGATGGAAATATTTTCGATCCTGCTAAAGGATAATACTTTTAAAAACATTTCAAATACACCTTTATCTAATAAACCGCAGAGTCAATGAATCAACCAGTCGATAGTTTAGTCACTCAATCAGGCACTCTAAAATTCTGTCAGTCAATCAGTATGACAATCAATCACTAAATTCCAGTCACTGCCAAACAAGGAATCAATCAGTTCAGTCGGTCAATCAATCAGTCCGTACATCAGTCAGTCTAAGTTTCAGCCAATCCATCAGTCAGTCAATCCGTCCACTATAGTTCAGTCACACAGTACACTGCTCACTCAGTTATTAAATCAATCAGTTAGTCAATTGGATTATCAATCACTCATTACATTGCTCAATTAATCCGGCAGTCGTTTCATAAATCAAAGACCTATTCATATATATCAATCAATTCATTCTCTCAATAAGCTAATCAGTCAATCAAGCAGTTTACCGCACTAACGCATTCTTAACTTAATCAGAATTGACTGCCTTGATTGGAAAGACTACAACAGCTTTGCTTAAGCATATTTACTGTTATCGATTTATCGATCAGTTATCGAGGATGTCCAGTGTTATTAGGCATATGTACATGCTTTTGCTTTTATGCTCTTAAGGCTAATTGACCAAGTCCAATGCTTCGCATCAGCTAATCCCAATTTGCCTAATTGTTATCGATCTTTGCTTCATTTATCGCTCGTCTCTTTCCTTAGGCTCAGCTGCGGCTTTCTATTAGCTTTTTCCGGTCAAATCAAATATTGCAGGCAATCGAAAACTTGACACTGCGATTATTTACCTTTTTTTGGGCGCAGGCTGAACGCTTTTGCTGTTGTTTTTAGAGTTGTTGTTGCTGCTGTTGGGCTCGATTGCTCGCGAGTTGCCACAAAAGGGCAAGAGCAACAGCAGCCGCAGCCGCAGCAGCAGCCGCAGCAGCAGCAGCAGCAAGAAATATGAAATTCCAGCAGCTGCGGGACATTTGAGGTGGCCAAGGCGGGGCCAACAGCGACTGCCAGCTAACCGGTAGTTGTTGCTGTTGCAGTTGCTTGTTGTTGTTGTTGTTGCTGCTTAGTTACTGCTTCTGCTGCTGCTGCTGCTGCTGCTGTTAGTAGTTGGTGGCTCTAGACTTTGGCGGCGTCCTCTTCGCTGGTCGTCGTCACCATGTCGTCGCTCTGGACATTGCCAGCAATGTTGCTCTTATTTCAGAACATGAACAACAGCAGCAAAAAAAACAGCAGCAACAGGAGCAGCAGCAGCAACATCGTTTGTATGGGTCGCAAGAAAAAAAAAAAAAAAGAATTTAATGAAAAATGCTCTATGAAGCAGAGCAGCAAATTAAAAAAAAAAAAAAAAAAAAAAGGAAAAACTTTTGCACAGCAGCANGCGACTGCCAGCTAACCGGTAGTTGTTGCTGTTGCAGTTGCTTGTTGTTGTTGTTGTTGCTGCTTAGTTACTGCTTCTGCTGCTGCTGCTGCTGCTGCTGTTAGTAGTTGGTGGCTCTAGACTTTGGCGGCGTCCTCTTCGCTGGTCGTCGTCACCATGTCGTCGCTCTGGACATTGCCAGCAATGTTGCTCTTATTTCAGAACATGAACAACAGCAGCACCAGCAGCAGCAGCAACAGGAGCAGCAGCAGCAACATCGTTTGTATGGGTCGCAAGAATGCCTTAATTCAGGAATTTAATGAAAAATGCTCTATGAAACAGAAAAACAAAAAAAAAAAAAAAAAAAAAAAGGAAAAACTTTTGCACAGCAGCAGCAACAAACTCAGCAGCAGCAGCAGCAATCGGCGCTGTCGCGGCAGCAACAGCAGCAGCAAAAAGGTTAAAATTAAAAATCAACGCAGCAGCAGCAACAACAACAACAACAGCTAAGTTGATGTGTGAGATCGGTGGCAGGTGAGTCCAGTGGCTGCTGGTGCTGCTGCTGGTGCCTCGACTGTTGCTGCTGTTGCTGCTGCTGTTGCGCGTTGTAAATTACATTTTCCAAATGCTTTTGCCATGTCGTACCAAAAACCCCATGTACATATGTGGAATAAGGCCGTAGCTCCTGCCTCTTGGCTTCCGTTTTTGATTTGGAACACTTGTTGCAGCTAGCTGTTGCAAGTTGTTGTTGCCCATTGGAGGTTGCTGCTGCCTGGCTTTAGGATTTGTCCTGTAAATTCCTTGGGGATGTGTACAAACACACACACACACACGCACACTGAGATTTCTGCTGCTGTTGGTCTTTGGCTTCTGTTGCTGCTTGTTTGATTATGTTGTTGTTGTTTGTACAGATTGTTGTTGATTTGAGTGTTGATTGTTGTTGCAACATAATGCGGTAGGTGGGCAAAGGCCCTCGCCTTTGATTCAACCGAGACCCAGACCCACAGTCGACTGTGCGTGTGTGCGCTGAGTGTGAACTGCGAAATGGCTTCGGACAGCAGGTATTATAAGATTTGCTGATGTTTTCGCAAGATGTTGACTGGGATTACGGCTAAACAGCTACACGAATTGAGTTGCGAAGAAATTAAACGGCTTTATTGCAGCTCTCACCCGACCTGGCTCAAACTTTCCCTGAGGAAAACTTTGTGAAAAAAATATTCATTTTAAAATCTGTGAAATAATTTCATTATCCGATTCATACAACTTTAGCAATGATAACATAAATCGTATAACACAGTTGATTTTGCATAGAAATATTATATCGATTAACATTTAGTCGATTATATGAAAGCCCTAAGGTAAAGCTCGTATTGATCTAGCCTAGTCGTAGTCTGACCCTCGGTTTATCTGTTCATTCGTCTACCTATAGCCAGCTAATTCCAGCCATGTTGGAAGTATGGACGGCTTTCCCTTTCCATGAAAGTTTTCACACAGAAAGTACTCAGGTCATGTTTAAGATCTCTGTGGAATAATTTTTGCATGTATTTCCGTCTGTCCATGCAAAACACTTTATTTTCGTCGTCATTAACTTACAACCCCAATTAAATTTTTTTTTTTTTTGTGATTTATAGATTTTTCGGTTAGAAGGATCTCATATCTTTTTCGAATTCTACACTTGAAATCTGTGGAATTTCGTTGAGGTTTTGAATTTGGCTTGTGTGTCAATTCAAAATGTATGATAACTCTGATTTTAGTATTCTAAGTTATTAAAACATATAATAAATAATCAGTTAATCTTTTTATACATATTGTATTTGTCTTTAATTTGATTTTTTCTTACTTAAATCTGATCTAAATATTTAATATTTAATACAAATATCTTAAAAATTATTTATTATTTTCATAATATGTCACATTTTTGTCTATTTTTTTTAGTAAAGCTAATATCTAAGGTCGAAGGAACTCTTTAGCCTTAGAAGATGGGCTCCGGCTCAACGATCTCGTAGGTCGACATCGGCAGGACATAGTTGCTGTAGTAGTTGCCGCCACCAAAGGGTATCACCAGCTGGGGATAGAGCTGAGCTGGGGGCATGTAGAAGTCGTGCCGCTGCTTGAGGAACTGGGTGCCAACCACAGGCCTGTTGGAGATGGTCTGCACCAGGTCGTTGTCAATGTAGTCGTCGGGCGTCGCTTCCTCGGAGTTGACCTCGTTCAGCAGATCCCGCGGCCTCGCCCAGCAGCCAGAGAGCGCAAGGCTGAGCAGGAGCAGCAGCGGCAGAGCAAACGAGTTGATGGACATCTTAGTGGCTTGACAGTTGAACAGGGAGTGTCTGTCCAAACGGTCAACAGCTATCACTTATATAGGCATCTGCAGAGATCAACCCGGGCAGGTGAGCAGGTAGAGCGCGGGCGTTAAGCGATTTCTAATGAGCGGGCGAAGCTGACAGCTGGCAGCTAAGCCTCAGCCTGAATCCGAGGCTGAGCTGAGTCCAGGCCTAGCAGTTGGGCCTCTACCTGCTCGGAGATAGTTAAGCAGATCCGCAGCCACCCGGTCGATAAAGTCACTTAAATGCAAATCCCAAGCCCAAGTCGACTCCAACTCAGGCTCCAACTCCAACTCCAAGTCGAAGTCGAGTCGATATATCAATGCGTTTGCCATTTAACCATGTTAATCAAACAACGAAATCCATCAACGGTTGACACGGCCAACAAGCAGCAGGTGGAGGACAAGACAACAAGCTACAAAAAAGCGCAGAAAAATATTGAGGCTGGCCATAGACGACTGCGCAATGCTCGTCTAAAATGTCAATGGATCTACATCTGCATCTATATATCGATATGTGCACTAACATATAGCAAAATCTTGATACTATATTTACACAAGTTGTATTGAAAGATATAAGATAATGCAGACATGGAAGGATATGAATATTGATACTACTGGATACTACTGAAAGGAACCATGGCAGCATTACACTTTCTTTCTATAAGAGCGTATATGAATACGTATTCCTCATTAGGCTACTACATCAATAAGTCTACATATAAAGAGTTATATACATCTCTGAAGATCTACTCTATGTAAAGCTCTAGAGATTCTGGTATCTTGCTGTCAAAAGAGATTTGGATATAGGCAGACCTCACTCACAACTGATATACCCATTTCAATCCGAAAACGAGTGAGCAACAAAAAGAAAAAATGAGAGAAAAAAGGAAAAACCGAAAGCCAATCCCAATGCCATATCCCCAGACATGTCAGTGCGATAATGGTGCACTTCGTCTAAAAACAACTTCATTCACAAAAATCTGACGAAAAGAGGCAAAAAAGAAGAGAAAAATCAAGCAGAAGAAGAAGAAGCAGAGGGAGACGCAGAAACGGCAGCAGCGGAGCTTAAAGGAAGCGAGTCCCATTAAAAATATCTTGTGGATGCCAAAGAGCTAAAGATACATTCAACGACGACAAGGTGCAAGCCTAGCCTAGTCTAGGCTGGGGGCGGCGGGCGGCGGGCGGGGGGCAGACGTCAACTCAAGACTGGAGCTGGAGCTACTTGACTACTTCGCTACACAATGCACAGCAGCAGCAGCAGCAGCCGATGTGGGGGCGGCGGTGCGCAGGGGGCGTGACGAAGCTGGGCAGCAGGCAAGCAGGCGCAGCTTGGATAACGCTTGCAACATACGCCTAATGCCACAGACATCGACATCCGCCATTTAACTTCTTAACCCCCAAGTGGCTCGCTGGGCTGAAATCGATGGAGGAAAGATAAGACGACGAAATTAAAAATAAATCAAACGGAAACGAGTGAAAAATGTGAGAGAAATATCTTTAAAATAAATCTGTTGTGTAGTAACAATATTAAATAAAAAACCTAAATTTCGTTTAATAAAGTTTTATTATTATATAATACTGATTTATACATATTATCTGAAAGACTTTATGAATGAAAATAATATTTAATTATTATATAAAAAATTTATCAATTACTTGTTTTTAAATATATGCAAATAAATGTATAATGACACACGGATAGATAAAATATTAAAACTGTAGAAGGAGCATATATCCTTCGACTTTAATCAATAACTCTTAAATTACTTAAACAGAATTATCGAATTATCAACATCGAATAAACACACATACATATGTCAGCTGATATAATAAAATAATCCGTTTCATTTAAGTTTCAAATTGAACAGTTATGTCTCGAGTCACAATGATCAGCAATTGAATTAATAGGATCTAAAAGTATAGGAAATTATTCGAGCTGCGTTATTTCCAATCAGAAAGCTTAGTCATTCAAGTCCTGAACTGGATTTCTTTGGCTTTTGCCAAAGCTTTCATCTGTCTCTCTTTTTCCACGTCCATTGTAGGGTTAAGTCGTTTGCGCCTAGGCCGGCGCAGCTGCTGCGCAGTCGCAACTGTCTACATTTGTCTGGCTGCCTACAGCTGCCGACGCAACAGAACAGCAGAAACAGCAGAAACAGCAGCAACAGCAGCAGCAGCAGAGATGCCGCGTCGCTGTCCTCTCTGGCTTGGTCGGCAGTCGGCTCGATTATTGGACGTCCAGCTTTCAATTTGCAACATAAAGCATCTTCATCGTGGGCCGCATGAATGGGCAGCGCAGCAGGCAGCATGCAGCAGGGAGGGGGAGCGGTGCAGCGGCGGGGGCACAGGTGAGGCGTGGGCCGATTCTGCTCGGTGCCTGCCTGGGCTGGCATTGGCAGCAGGCACTCAGGCGTGCCGCGGCGGTAGTCGCTGACCTTTATTGATTGCTGTTTGACCTCGGCAGCAATTGTTGCTGTTGCTGCCGTTGCATCTGCAGCCATTTGTACTTGCTCGATCACAGGCATAGATTAAGCAGCAGCAGCAGCAACGACGCCCACAACGGCAGCGCTGACTGCGCCGCGTCGCGTCGTTGCAGTTTTGCCGTTTTGCTTTCTGCCTTTTTGCTCAACCTTCATTGTTGTTGCCATTGTCGTCGTCGTTGTTGTTGTTGTTGTTGTGCCATTACTTCGTTCATGGCAGTTAATTTATATTCGATGCCATCTCTAGCTCTCTCCCGCTCTCCCGCTCTTAATGCGAGCTTTTTGCTTCTGCTGCTTCCTTTGATATGTTTAGCTTAAGGTCGTCGCTGACTGACAGCTGCAGCCGCTGCGCTGCAGCAGCACTCCGCCGTCATTGACGCCTCTTCTTGTTGCTTTCCGCTTTCCGTTCGCCACTCTCCACTCCACACACTTCACTCGAAGTGCATGCAAAGCAAAGCGTGTCAAAAGAAAACAATGAAGAGCAAAAGAAATCACAGCACACTTTCAGCATCGGCGTATCGTTGTATCGTTTGTTTTGTTTGACAGTTTCTATCTGCCCCTGGCTGAACGGGCAAAGGCAGCCGCAGCGCAGCGGCAGACGACATCGTTTTGTTTTCTTAATTGTTTTTTGAGTCTTTTTTGAGAGAGCTGGAAAAGCGATAATAATTAGCAGATTTGCAAATGAATTATTGAAAGGGAAGGAAGATATAACTATTATTATTATCCGGAGCACGCTGAAAATCTAATTTCGAGTACAAAATAAACGCTTCTGTAGAGTAAATCAATTTCTTTGTCTCTGAGCACACGCACACGCATTTTCACCATTAATTGAAAGCAAATCAAAACTAACTCTTTTTCCATGACGAGCGCACCCCAAACATATAATCATAATAATTAATAATTATAATACCAGTTGATCGTTACACAGCAGAGCAAACAACCTGCTGCATTAAAATAAATGTACGTATGTACACACATACACATGTATCGTAGGTGCCATTACTCTTTAGCTTCTTACGTGTGCGCTCTTAAAAGATCGCTCTTAAGCATGTTGCCACGAAATTCATTCATATAAACTACAGTTCACACACACACACACATACATAAATGGCGCACGAAGTGCAGCCGAACGCCCGGTGCGGCCCCACACACAGAAGTGATGGAGACATAGAGAGAGTGAGAGAGAGCAGCAACGCCAGCGATCGAGCAGCGACCGTCGTGTTGGGCAGCGCCAGTCAGTTATATTTGCGACGCTCTCGAGTGCGGGTCGTTGTCGGTTGAGGGGCGCAGCTGGATGCCAAAACAAAAGGCAAAGTGGAAAATATAGAAATAAACAAACAAACAGTAATAATAAACGTAATTTAAACAATTAATCAAAACGCGGCGATCAATGAAACTTATGCAAAAGCAGCAACAACAAGTGCCAGTGAATTATTGTACTTAATTTTTATGTACAAATTGTGAGTGTGTATGCGTGCAAGTGTGTAGATTCTGATGCATGTGTGTGTGCGGGTTTATCAATTGCTCCATATAAAATATCATTGAAGTGTTTGACAGCAACAGCAGCAACAACAACAGCAGCAGTAGCAGCGCAGCAACTACATAAAACTAACGGCAAAATCAACATCGGGAGCAACAACGACAGCATTGGCAGTGGCAGCGCAGACGACGTCTGCTTAAAACGGTAATTAATACAAACACACTTTTGATTTGGCAATAAACAAATGATTCAGCAATTGTCAGCAACTGTAAATTGTAAAACACTTGCTGCGCTCGCCGCATTGATTGAATGTAGTCAGCGTCGGCTTCGCCGTCGCCGTCGGCGACAAAGCTTTTAGCTCAAACGCATGTCTGCAATTAGTCTACGTTATTATTGTGTTCTGCCGACGTCGCGACGTCTACGTCGACGCAGTCGCTGTTACAAAGTAGCACGCGCATAGACATACCAAATTAATAAAATACCGCTTGCGCGCTCTCTCGCTCTCTCTGCTCCCCCACAGCTGTTACGTAGGCGTGCTCTCTTTTGTGTGCGTATGTGTGTGTGAATGTACGTGTTTCTTTGTTACGTGTTTGCCTTTACGCCTTTTACATACCCTTCACATTATTATTTGCTATTTTGTCGCTTTCATTAATTGGCCCATGTAAAAACGGCAACGGCAATGGCAGCGGCAGCAACGACGACGGCGACGGCGACGTCAGCTACCTGACACGGCAGCTTTTGTTACTGCTATCAGAAAGCACAGTAACAACGAGTGCCGACTGCCACTCACCCTCTCTCGCTCTCTCGGCTGCTCGCTCTTTTACACACACTTGTTGCCGTCGCGTTGTTTTTACAGTTTTTAAGTGGCGCTCATATCCGGCGCTTGCCTTGCCCGCCCTGATAAGCGCACTTCTCTTTCTTCGCCCACTTTCCCCTCTTCATCTGTTGCTGTTGCTGTTTTTGTGCGCTACCTGTCTGCATTTTATTTGCATTTTCTTTGCCTTTTCTTTTCTTGCAAATTATTTTTGGGCTTAGGCTTTGTTCTCGCTAAAGTGAATCAGTTTTAGAGGCGCCTAATGCGCATCTGTTTTCTTGTTTGCTCGTTAATTGCTCACAAAGGGTGCGTGCCCAAGTGAGAGAGTGAGTATGCAGGTCTCCAATTGGAGACCCTCCAACGAAACGTTTTTCACTTGCCGCACAGTTTTTGAGTACAGTGCGAATCGTTCACAGGGACACAGGACGAAAGCTCTGCCTTAACGGTTAAAGCGCTGTAAGTTAAAGAACTGAGCTTAGATACGATTTGATATCTGGCATGCCAATCGGGCTCCAGTTGGAATATCATGTATTTCAAATTGGAAAAACATTAGGAATCGAGTTTTAAGAAAAGGAATCTGAAAAAGAAACTGATAAATTATTAAATGAAGATTTTATTATTGCGTTTGTTTTTAATTAATGTATAGTCCCGTTCTAATTCTCCTAGTCTCGAATTTTAACTAATTTTAATATTCTACATATAGAATCTGCTTATTCAAATTTTTACACTTTCGCTCCCTCCGATCTAATATCTACCAATGATACCCAAGTTCGCATTGAGGCAATCAGAAGCAAAGCAGCGCTCAGAACATTTAGCTTAAACAAAGGTTGAGTTATAATATAAATATATAGACATATGTGTTTCTATTTATGTATACATATATAAATATTTATATATCGCATTGAATTATGCACGCATCAACACGTTTCGCCTATAAACCCTAAAAATGAATATTTTTTTTCCAAATATGTAAGTCGGTTAAGTTGCGGAGCCTATAACATATTTATTTTAGCATAACAAAACAGCAACTGATCGACTTGTGAGATATTCCTTACCTTCTCACTATTTGGATTTCCTTGATGTGATCGACTTTTGGATGCTCCTTGAAATTAAATTCGTTTCGGGCTGATAAAAACCAAAGAATAAATCCAAAATTAAATTTTTTACATTTAAATTTGATGTTATTCAAAAATAAGAAGCTTGAATAATATTACAGGGTATTTTAGTTTCTTGCTGAAAATTCAAAAATAATAAATTTTTTTTTTTAGAATTTCGGTCTTTAGCTCGAACGTAATTATTATAGTTAGATAATTTGACCATTTATCCTGAATTAATTAACCATTAAATATTTGCCGTTTATATAACAGCATTTACAGGGTATTCACTCTCAGCTAGAATTATATATTGGTTGGGATCAGCGATTCATTTGGATCTTTGACATATTTAGATTGACTTAACTAATAGCTGTATACATCAAAATTTCCATAATATTTTAACAACCAAATTCATAATGAAAACAAATAAAGGCAAACGAACCAAAATATTTTGGATCGAAGAACATTTTGGCATGTGATTTGATTTTTTCAGCTTAGTTTTATTATATTTTTACAGAACAATCTTTTGACCTGGGCTTGCGATAACTTTATGGAAAATCTGAGCCTCCTAACTTGCGGTCCATCGATTTGTGACGTCAATAGTGAGGGGAGATTAGCATACTCGTTAATAGGGACGGGCTACGGTTTTGAACTTTGTGTGTCTGGCCAGGCCCTGGCCTTGATAAAAAATGGCTGAAAAAAAAAAAACGAAATACCGACAATCGGATCTAATGTTAACCTTCTCGGGCATTTTAACGAACGTTAAGTGGATCAACGAGTTCGGGTCAACGGGTTTCAGAATTCGAATTAAAAGTTTCGCGTATGCACATATATATTTTTCGGCTCAGATTATCAGTGCGCGGCTTATGCACCTGTACACTGAGCGAAATATTGCAGCATATAGAAAAAATTTCATTAAAGTCTGGGAAGATTTAAGAAACTAAAAAATTAAAATAAACATTCATTTCTGGTATGCGTTTGGTGTAGAGCTTTCAGTTGTGATTTCTCTCAGTGCATCTTTCAAGTCATTTGCGATTGTCATTTCGTTCGTTGATTTGTCTATTGTCCGATCGTAATCCAAATATTAAATATTTGCTCATTCGCTGTGACAGGTTAGACAAGTATTTTATTTTTTATTTGTTTTTGTTTATTTTTTGTTGTTAATTTGGCGCATCAAATTTGATTTTCTGTTTTGTTTTGGAACGGGTGTCGGTTTGTTTTTATTCATTTTGGTAGGTCAGCCTCGTAAATACGTTACTAATACTAATGCTAAATATTTTCGGCAGCAGTTTGGTTTTTTTGGCGTTTAGCATATCAATATTTGACCTTTGGATAAATCCCAAATACGTGCCCATCAAACAACTTCCGTTTGGCTAACATTTTTCAATGGAATTTCTCGCTCTTTTTGAATGAACAACAAAAGCAATAACAACAACAGAAGCAGAAGAGTTTGTGTTTATATTTTGAAATGCTCAGCATAAAATGTGTCGGCTTATACGAGTATCGTATAACATCATTATCATATAAGGCATGCTTATCGTATCGTATGTACATACATTTAGATATATGTAGTCACATATTTATGCTTTGCATGTATACATAATATAATTGCTTACCTCGTTGGAGTTCTTGATAAGCCCCACTCCACACGATCCCAGTAAAAAGTCCTCTAGCTCTTGCTCATGCTCTTTATTTAGCGATATTTCCGCTTTATTTCCTCTCTCTTGCTCTCCCTTTCTCAATGTGTAGACTATCTCATCTCATTCTCTTTCTTCCTATTTTCATCTCCCTCTCAGCTTGTTTCTCTCCATTTGTTCCTGCTCTCACACTTATACTGAACATAGATAAGCCTATTTAACAATTCATTATATAGAAATTTTTAATAACACATGATATAGAAATATGTAAGAGTTCATATTTCATGAGCATAGTAAATGCAACGAGCGTCCTGATTACGGACTTGCTGATGAGTTACGGGCTCAGACTTCGAAGTAGTAGTAGAGAAGACGAGGGTATTGCAGCGAGTGTCTCATATTTTACCGCTCGATGTCATTAGCGCGACGCTAAAGCAAATATTTGACGACGATGACAAACGGAGATACAACAGCCAAACATCAACCATAAACCCGTTTTCCCAAAAAAAAAAAAACACACAGTCAAACTCGAGCTGAGGGTGAGGGTGTGATCGCCAGATGAAAGATGAATATCGCGATCTTTTTGCTTTGTGTATCTGTATCTGCTTTTTTCCACTTTGACTTTGGCTTTGAGTTTGAGTTTCTTTCCGCTGACTGCTGACTGCGACATTTTTGTCACATGAACTGCGGGCGATCGGCGCGATCCTCAGCCCCTGAAACTGAAACCCGATGATGCTTTATGTACTTGCACTTGCCAGTCGGGCACTGGCCACTTTTTTTTTTTTTTTTGTCAGCATTTTTTATTTATTTTTATTTTGTTGTTGTCTCCTTCTCTCTCTCTCTCTCTCGCTCTCTCTCTCTCTCTCTCTCTCTCTCTCTCTCTCTCTCTCTCTCTCTCTCTCTCTCTCTCTTACATATATATAGGAAATCACGGCGATCACAGTGTATTGTTTGATCAGCAAGCATAATTGAGCTGCGACTGGGAGATTCACTCGATCACTCGTTATATTTCATGTTGTTACGTTGATCTTGCATTTGTCATGCTCTTATGAATTTGATCCGTTGACAGTTTTTTCTTTTTGATATGTTTCTCCTCTACGCTTCTCGCTTTTTACTTACTGCAGATCAAAGATCGTACGATTGTGCGAGCCGTTGTTATATATTTTTTAGCTTTATTTTCTGCTATTGACTCAGGTTCGGTTTGGGGGGTTAAGCATTGGCGCTGACCGCAGTGCTTCAAAAGTTTGCCGAATACACTTAGAGAAAGGAAAATGAAGTACAGCGAAACCATTGTCAATGATCTTAGACTATGTTTCTTACTTAGATCGATAGAAAATATATGTGTATAATGTAGTTGATCGTAGATCACGATCTTTGAATTAAACGGAGAGTTAATTGTACTTGATCGCTCATCTGAAATTATATTCTTCATTTTTGTATTCTCAAAAGTTCAAGTTGATCTTCTTCGATATTTCTTGCAGTGCATTTTCTGTTGATTTGTTTTGGTTTTCGTTTGAATTGTGCCGCCAACTAAAATCATAAATCCATAAAGCATCCCACTTTGTCGGTGATTTCTCAAACACGAAAACTATTTCGCTATAGTCGTCGTTCTATTCAGCTGATGATCGTTCACAATTTCAGTTGCTGTTCCAGTTGCCAGAT